ATATAATACTTATTTTAGGTTTCAGACATTTAAATACACATAAGTACTAGCAAAACCATACATTTACAGTTTGTAAAAAAATCTATGGAAATGGCAATAATGAACCCTCCCTTCTCTCCAAGAACTGTACTTATCCAGAGTGAGCAAAAGGGCTGGCAGAATCACTCTGGACCCCTCACATCCAGCACACTCCCTCTTTGAACTGTTGCCATCTGGTTGACGCTTCAGAGCACTGAGCACCAGAACGACCAGACACAGGAACAGTTTCTTCCCTCAGGCAATCCATCTCATGAACTCTTAACAATAACTGTGGAACACACACTATTTATACACTCATACACTTATTTATCTAACACTCATACTCAGTCTACACCTAAAATTTGCACATAATATACAGTACCTGTACATACAAAACTGTCTATTGTAATATACCTGCACATACAATTGTCGATTTATATATTTTTATTCCTTATTTACTTGTTCTATTTTTTATTATCTGTGTTTTTTGTTCTGTCACTGTCATTCTGTTACACTGTGGAAGCTTCTGTCACGAAAACAAATTCCTCGTATGTGTAAACATACCTGGCAATAAAGCTCATTCTGATTCTGATTCTGATGGATACGATAAATGGCAAGCTTTAGACTTTGAGTTAGACTCAGCAGTTTGGAAGAGCTGATCCAACACATTTCCATCTCAGCCTAGTCGAACTCATGGTGATTAATAGTTTTGGTGCTTACAACGTGCATTGTGAATTTGTGTCATAATGGGACTTTAAAATCAAAATGTCAGTACTGTAATATGATTATATATGGCTCTTATACTAACCAAGGCTGCTTTTATTTGACAAAAAATAAAGTAAAAATGGGCATATTGTGAATTACAATTGATTACAATTTAAAATAACTGTTTTTTTTTAAATGTAATTTATTCCTGTGATGCATTGTTACTCCAGTCTTCAGTCACATGATCTTTCAGAAATCATTCTAATATGCTGATTTGAAACATTTCTTATTATATCAATGTTGGATACATTTGTGCTGATTCATATTTTTGGTGGAAACACTGATGCACTTTTTTCAGGATTCTTTGATGAATAGAAAGTTCAAAAGAGCAGCTTTTATTTGCAGTGGAAATCTTTTGTTACTTTATAAATCCCTTTACTGTCACTTTTGATCAATTTAATATATCCTTGTTGAATAAAAGTATGAATTTCTTCATGCAGTATGAAGTAACAAGGTCAAGAGTTCATAGTGAAATGAAGGGTTTTTAAAATTATTTTTGGTGCAAGAAGCATTTAAAGTGGACTTCAAGGGAAAATAGACAGTGCTACACACAACACAAGTGCTGAATGTGTTCTCTTTAATATTTCTCTGCAGGGAACATTCAGACGCCTCATTAGTATTTTTTCAAACGAACCGCGGCTTGTTTATGACAATTTGCATTCAAAGCTTGAACGAACCGTTGAAAATCGAGCTAATGAACTTTCTATGAGAACATAATTGCAAAGGTTTTGCTGTTCATTTTAAGATTTTTGTTGTTGTTGTTTTGAAAATAGAGCAAAAACAAGTGCTGACATGATCAGAATCCTCAGCTTAGTTTAGTGTCAAAAGATTCTGTGAACATAAATATCTGATAGACGTTTAAGTCAATGTTGGGGCAGGATCATATACAGATGTTGCACTGTAATATTCAAGTAAAGATGATTCCTTTAAACCAGATGGTTTATATAGGTTTTGCTTTGCTTGAATGGCTTGTTTCGATCTCATCAGAGGTCAGGACTTCGATTTGGCCCTCTCAGACATGGAAACTCACTCTGTTCATGTTAAATATCATTGTCCTGACTCCCATCGTCTGTTTTGGGATTTTGATCACAGACAGATGTTTTGTTTCTGCTGAGTTTACTGGCAGCATTCAGTGGTTCTGTGGAAATGTTTGCTATGTGAAGTACATACTCCCTCTCTGTTAAACCCCACGTTCCAATGAGGTTTTGGTGTTGCTATGCACTGATTTGTTTTCTGCAGACATACAGCTTTGTTTGTGCTTCAGAAACTTTAATTTTATTTGTTCATTGTTTATGCAAGATCCTGATGATGTTTAACAAACTTTGACAGAGAGCATAACCCTTTTTTTGTCGTTATTACACCAATGAAAAAACATAAGCTGAAAAATAGTTGACTGTGATTTAAAATGGAGTGATTTTATTGGAGTGACCGTTTTAGGTTTGCTATAGCACTGCGGATGATTGCTGTTATTAGATGAGGATTACATCACATTTTTGGGGCTGATGCATACGTTTTAGGTGTTTGTTTTTCTACTCCCTCCTTAGTGACATTTGAACTGTTTTCCATATTTTCAACCACACAAGGAGTTGTATAATACCAGGAGAAAGCTATCCATCAGCATTCCCATTCTTCTTAAAGAAATAGTTCACCCAGAAATGAAAATTTTTAGAAAATATAGTCAAGATGTCGATGGGTTTGTTTCTTCATCAGAACAGATTTGGAGAAATGTAGCATTACATCACTTGCTCACCTGGGGATGCTCTGAAGTGAATGGGTGCCGTCAGAATGAGAGTCCAAACAGCTGATAAAAACATCACAGTAATCCACAAGTAACCCACACCACTCCAGTCCATCAGTTAACATCTTGTGAAGTGAAAAGTTGTTTGTAAGAAACAAATCCATCAAGGAATTTTTAACTTTAAACTGTCAGTTCTGGTCAAAAATGAGTCCATAATCCATAACACTTTCTCCAGTGAAAAAGTCCATCCCCTGTTGTCCTCTCACATCAAAATCCACCCACATATTGACTGCTTTTGCTTGTAAACAGTGCTTGATCTGTGCATATTTCTCTCCTGATTCAGACTGGAGATTCTCTCCTGATTCAGACTCAATATTATGGATAGAGGGTTTGTTTGAAGCCCTTGATGATTTTTTTATGAACTGTTTAGAGGTAATTTGTTGATTATACTGCAGAGCATCTATTGGTGAGCAAGTGATGTAATGCTACATTTCTCCAAATCTGATGAAGAAACACTTCATCTTGGATGTAGTGCATTTTCAGCTAATTGTCATTTTTGTGCAAAATATTCCTTTAATTGCAGTTGAAGATATGCAGATTTATTCAGAGACAAAGAGTGTTTCTGATTAGGTGGAGCACTCATGACTCTTTTTGCTGTTTACTGAGGCTAGTGCTGTCACAGAGACTGGTTTGATTTCTCAAGACACCCATTTCAGTGATATCTGTCAGATAGATTGGCATTTTATGCATGGTATTTCTCAAAAATAGTTTGCAGCACCTTTAAAGCAAGTTATTTTCAAATGGTATTTGCATATTATAGGGAGTTCAACTGCTTCACGACTGTGCAATACAAATACATGCTTCCTGAATCATGCATGTGTCCTCAAATGCTCTAAATTTGAACTTGCCCACAATAAATGTTTGACTGTTTGTTTCTCCACTAGAGGGCGCTAGACACATACCACAAGCACAGCCTCTTTTCTCTGCTTGTGGACACCCCGCAATGTTTTTGAGTAAACCACAGGATGAATTATTCACCTCAGATACAGAGACAAATAAAAAAATATATATTTTTACTGTGTCCAATCTTTCCATCTTGTCCTCATTGAAATGCAGCTGAATATTTTGAAGGAGTCATGTAATTTTGAACATAATCTGTCAGATATTCCTTCAGATATGTAGTGGCAAGGTTATTGTAGTTTTGGCTTTTTTTTATATTTAATTGTATTTTTAAGTTTCTGCAATGGCTTTGTTAGTTCTAATTCAGTTTTTATATCAAGGACACATTTTAAGCATTTTTT